AAACTGCAGCAACGTTTATAACACGAAAAAGAAAAAAATGTTCCCGTTATCCAAGCGTTCACGGTATCTCTCTTTTTTTTTTCTTTTTTTTTCTTTCTTTTCATCGAACGACGAGGTTTCTCCCAGACCTCGGCCGGATGCACGATATCATCGATAGGTCGATCGCGCGGAAATAATAAATATAGATAGAAGGTACAGTGTTCCACGAAGTGGAATTCGCGGAGACGTGTCTAGAAAAATATATATAGATGTGGGAACAACACACACATACGGAATATTTTCGAAAGACTCTTTCACCGTTCCTTTCTTCTCATATTTTTCTTTTTTTGTTTTTTCTTCTTCTTCTACTTTTTTTTTTTTTATGTTTCCTCTTCTCTCATACGCTGAAGACAGATGCACGGGTAGTGTGATGAGATCGCATGAGGATCGATCTCTCGTTCTCGACCTTCGACGAAATCTCGCACGTTTCATTTTCGAAAAGAAGGAGAAACCTCGCTTCTCTTACTCTTTGCGACTTTCAGATTACTGTTTCATCTGGCGAGCAAAGTAATTGCGCTAACTCGTCGTCGAAGAAACTCGAGAACGAGGCCGAATCCGATCATTGAAAACGCGTAACACGCGCCACCGATTCTCTCTCGTTTCACAAAACAGATCGACGATTCCTCGTTTCTTTCTTTCTTTTTTTTTTTTCTTTCTTTCTTTCTTTCTTTCTTTTCCATTTTCCCGCTTTTGGTGATCGATAGCGCGTGGCAAGTACTCTCGCTACGCTTCCGCTGTGTTTCATTCGCGCGAATTCTCGCTGCGTTTGTCCCGCCGATTTTTTTTCACCGATCTGCGCCCGCGACTCCATGCGCTCGGAACTCGAAGATGGTTGAAGACGAAACGCAAAAGTAAAACGAAAGAGGAGTATTCGAATTGTTATAAAAATATTCGCGGGCGGAGAGTAAATTCGGAGGATCGTTTTTAAGCCGTTACCTCGGAGCCTTACGAACTATATAACCGAAAGGTCACATCGATACATAACGAGTCGACACACTGCTGCTATTTTCGGCCACCGATCATTAGCTTCTACGGCTACGTGACTTAATTACGCGGGTGAAACGCGAGAAACGACGTTCGGGGTGCGTTAGAAAAAAATTCCACTCGCCGAGACTAGCTATTCCATATTCATGTTCCATAGTCGATGGACAACGAAGAAATCGTTAGAATCGTGATCGACGATCGCGTGAGACTGATTGGTCGCGGAGAGAGAACGAACGATGTAAACTCGCAGCTGAATGAACAATTGATACTGCTCGCAAGAATTAATGAAATTAATACTGATAAAAATTAATAAAATTATAAAGAGATTTAATAGATCCAATATGAAGTTAAATTAATAAAAGCAAGAAGCATCTGATTTCCTTTCATTAAACGAGAACGTCAGAGAAGCAGACGACAAGTCGAAGAAAGTTGCTCTTGTTTAATAAAAAAAAAATAATCAAACGCTTCTTCTTCTTTTTTNTTTTTTTTCTATCGCTTCACATTCATTTTGAAGTATCACCTAATTTTTGTGAGCAGCGTAGATTGTGGATTCTCTTAGATAGTAATTCGTTCGAGGTATACATTTGTGATCATCGTTTGTATAATTTATCGTATGCTTGCAAGAACATTATATTCAGATACAACAGATAAATCTTCAACTTGACACGTTGTTAAGTTTAATTGGAAGAGTCGTACGTATATTTCTCAGAATTGACGCGAGATCTAAGATTACCAGAGTTGAAAAATAAATGGCATCTGTCGACTGATATCACAATTATGGTCTTGCAAGTCGGAGAACTCTACGTTGATGATCGATTTCGATTTCTCACGAATGCGTAAACGCATGTCTAACGACAATGATAATCAAAAGTGTCGAGAGCCAATCCTTTCGCTGGATGAATTCGTCGTAAAATCGCGCGGACGATGCAACATTTCGAGGAAGTGAAAAAAAAAAAAAAAGAAAAAACGGGTTGTCGACTGTTTCTGGGAATTTTCCGAGGGTGAAATTGATAAATCGAAGCTCCATCGAGTTTTCAGTTTCATCGAGCACGAATATTCGGATTGTTCGTCGCAAAGTTGATCCGTCATACGTTTGCTACGTTTTGTTCCCCGTTTTCAGTCAGCGTCGACGTGTGGATTAATCGAAAGCAAAGAGCAACACTCGACGATCGGTTCTTCTTTTTTTTTTGTTTCTTTTGCCTCCGGTATCGCGACTAAAAACTCCGAGCTGCGATTTAAAAATTCGTAATCTCGAGAAACATTTCATCTAGGCAGATGAAAAAGCGAGACCATTATTAAGCAAGAAATTCACTCGGGATCTGTCGAACAATTCACAAATTATTATTTAATTGTTCGAATTATTCAATTATTCTTTCAAAGATGAACGATTGGTAAATTAGAGATCTGCAATATCGAGGTTGGACTTTTGTGGGAAATTCTTTACTTAAAGCGTTGATAAATTACGACACAGATTAGGTTCGATTCCCTTCCAGCGAAAGGGATTGGCTGAAACACGGAAAGGAGGTGATTCACGCGAGATTTACGAGAGGTAGAGACCTCGCGGAGGTTTTTCGAGACATTCAATTGTGGTCGAGAGGAAACGACATATAATTTTTTTGCGTTTGACACAGGTACAAGTGCGCCGTCATCGATTTGCTCAACAATGAAACAGCTACATGCTCGACCAGTTTAGCCGATCGATCAAAATCGATCAAAAGCGTACGACGTTTCGCGAGCCAAAGTGTTCGAAAATATACTTGCCGATAGTCATGCGCACGAAACGTTACAGACAGACGTTGATTCGACGTCTAAACTGCTCGAGCGTTCTAGTGATGAATACTCAATGTAGAAACAACGAGTTACTCTTTTTTCTTCATTTTTCTTCATTTTCTAGTCACTCGACAATCGATGGACTTAAATGGTGCAGATTAACCACGTACGTCCCTTGTTAATCGAATTAAATTAATTAATTCCATTCGCAATTTGAAGCCAGTTTGAACGTTTCTACGTTCCTCGTCGTTGGTTTGCCTTGAGAATTTCTTTCTAATCGGTAAACACCACGAAACATAATGTCATCAGAATTTTAACGTTAGAACTACCATTCGAATTTTTTTCTTTTTTTTTTGCAATTGCAGATCTCCCTTTAAAAAGAGACGTATTTGTTTTGTTAATCATGTAGAAACAGTTTTATTTTTTTTTTTTTTTAACAATTACTTTCATTTTTTTATATTATTATTGTTCGAGATCGTGTGGATTTCGATACAGTTATCGGCAATCACTAGTTTTTCTTTTATGGGATTAGTTCCGTTTTATGTGGAAACAGTGTAGCTCCAACGCTTAGATAAATGTTGTGACCGAATTTTTGACATTTCGATCGAAACTAAGATCGTCTATCGTTAATTATAATAAATTCGAGCCAATATGCCAATATTTTCATCGTTTCTAGTTCAGCAAATGAAATTATACGATCAGATAATCGGTCGATAAAATTCGCACACGTTAATTCCTTGTTACCTTCGAGAATGGAAGCAGGCAGAACTGGACCATTTAAGTAAATTCCATCGCGAGTGACGTTATAGTAGAAACAACTAGTTATTCTCTTACGTTTGAATCCCTTTGTGGAATCGTGGATTTTAACTTCTCTCTTGACACGACATTGAAAAGCGCTGTCCAACCGATCCTTCGGTTTTATTTGCCTTGATTCTTTCTCTCTCTTTCTTTCTCTCTCTCTCTCTCTCTCTCTCTCTCCCCCTCAATGGTCTTTCCTTTCTCGTTCATTCTCCTTTATGCCGTTCGAATGAAACGTCAAGGAAAATTGTAAATAAGGAAAGCGCGCGACGCTTGTTTCGAGAAACCTCGAGAGCATCCTCTATTCTATCGTCTCGAAACTTTTAAACGAGCTTTCTGGTTTCCTTCCCTTTTGTCCTCGCCCCGTGAAAGAACTCGCCAAAAGCGGCACCGACATTGTGAGTCGTCGGACCATGCCGCTGACATTTGCTATTTAATTTATCTTCGTTCCTCTCGCTCGATTTCCGCTGTTGCGAATATTGATAATTTCGAAAGCCAGTATATCTTGTTCGTTCGCTCGGATCGACAGAAGTCAAGGGGTCTGGACAGTTTGAAATTATCGAAAAATTTTTGTTTTTAAATAGTAGTTTGAAGTGTTAGAAAGAAGATGCAAAAGGTTTTATTTTCGGGTATAATAATAAATAATAATAAATTTCGAAAGTCAATATCTCGTTCGTTCGACGTCGCTCGGATCGACAGAAGTCAATGGGTCTGGACAGTTTGAAATTATCAAAAAATTTTTGTTTTCAAATAGTAGTTTGAAGTGTTAGAAATAAGATGCAAAAGGTCTTATTTTGTGGTATAACAATAAATCCACGGATACGGAATAGTTGAATCACTGTTTACAACTTTAAGCAGTATTATAAAGTGTAAATCGTGCGATTCAAATATTACTTTTGGTGAATCGAATGTCAGGGGAACTTGGATTCAATTTAGTTGCGAACTGTTAAAACTGTGAGCCGCGATATATAAGTAAAAAATATAAGTAAGTAAGGGATACATATGAAAAATGACCTTCCTGAACTTTAAACGTGTTTCTTTCAGAACTAGGTTTTTAGAGACAATGTGCAAGATATCTCGAAATGTAATCAATCGATTACTGTGTGAAACTTGATACGTTGAAATCTTTAGTGTAATATTTACTAGGGACTGACGATCAAACATTTTTTGATTTGTAACAATTTCGAAAGATATAAACGAAGAAACGTAGAAATTTTGGGCGTAAATTCGATACATCAAAAAAAAGCAAATAGCTGCTATTTTCATAATTTTCACAGAAATGAAAATATTGGATCGTCAATCCCTAGAGAATATTGTTTACTTTCGAACGTTTTCTGCCTTTTTGTTGCAACTAATCCTGCTTGGCTGGAATCATGCACACCGATAGTCAATGTGAAAAAAAAGTTATGCAAATGCCGTTAAAAAGTCTTTTTTTTTTTTTTTCTTTTCGAACGTTGCATTTTATAGTTGCACAATGTGTTCAAATAAATCACAAAATCTCATGTCGATCAAACATTCACTTTTGTTTTACCAGCCCTCCAAAGTATTCGTAATATTTAGGCCCGTCGAACTGTCCTGCCCCCTTAACCACCAACGTTCTACCTTTCAATTTCATTTTTGCCAAATGCCTGGCAAAATTCCCAGCGAGACAAATATTCGCTCCGAAAACTAATATTGCAAATTGCCGTTTGCCCGGGGAAAATAAGATTTCCTCCGTGAGTTTCATTCGTGCCGATGCGAATTCCACTTCGAATTCTCATGACCCTCGAATACATCGAGCTCGCCTTTCATCTCGTGGCGCGCAATTTTATTCCACGTTCCATCATCGACGCCGCATGTTTAGTCTACATTCGCAGTGAGGGCCATCGACTTCAACAGAGGCTCCTCCGCGGATAATCCGCTTGGGTACTTAACGAACGTAAACTCGTGCCGGGATCGTCAAATATTTTCTTCCCGAGCGCTCGCAAATCCGCAAATCTCGAGTCGAGTCGAACGGACAAAATCAATGCGCTCCATGCGACGAACGCAGAGAGAGTAATAATAACATTCGAATATTAAAAAGAGAAGAAACGAAAAAAATTCCATTCAAACGTCCTCTCTTCTTCTCCGTGAGAATAAATTCACAACGAGACGAGATGTTTCTCTTTTTTTCTTTTGTTCTCCCCTTGAAGAATTCGATATACTTAGCCCAGAAAAAAAAAAAAAAAGAAAAGATAGACACACACACACACACAGAGCGAGCGATCATTGGTCGATCAAGGAACGATCCGAAAATTAGAGGAGGGCTTGGCCGCTCGTTTTAGATCTCGTAGTTGCGGAACTTGTTCACCACTTCGCTGGGCGCCTCCGAGTCCCAGCCAAGGTCACGGCGTGCCCCATAGTAAATGTTTGCGCCACCCTCCGAGGCTCTTCTGTGAGCGTTCGTCGGCTGCGCCTTGCCCAGGGTGTGGCCAGGGGAACCAGCAGCCTCGCCAGACGCGTCCTGCAGCATGCGATCCTTCGTCTTCGGTGTGCTCCAGTGCATCGACTGCGACGCATTCGAGTCCTCTTTCTTTATTTTCTCTCTCTCTCTCTCTTTTTTTTTTTGTTTTAATTGCGGGATTGGAGACAGGCGAGCAGGATGAGTCACTTTTGTTCAAGAATGTTTGTTCAAATTCTAATATTTTTACGATCACTCTGAGATTTGATTCGTTAAATGTTACAAATTTAATTCATTAAATGTAACAAATAACAAGCATGTATGTGTGTAAGTATGTATCTGTGTATTGTTGGGTTTTTAAATTTTGTACAAGCGCCAGCTACTGATTGTCAATCAGTTTGGCCCACGTTTTCTCTTAAGAATTTATTAATATAAAGAGTCTTCGCTGTCCGAAGAGTTTTGCTTATTTATTGACGAGTGTATTTTGTAGAAAAAAAATTCGAGGTATATACTTTATGAAAAAAGAAAACTTGGTAGACGTGATATTAAAACTATCTGCGTTCTCTACGTTCGCAAGTGACCCAGTCTGCTCGTGGAACTGTGTTAAGTCGAGCTTAGAGGATAGGATAAGTGGAAAATTAGACGAGGTTGTTGGAATATTTCAACGTTATTAGGAAGTTTATTTAATCGCGTCGTGCGAGAAATTTTCCAGCGGAATCGAAATTGCTTCCATATAATTAGAAGAGTAACTGACTCGTTAAAAGATACATTGAAGAAAGAAAAATTACGCACGTTGAATCCTTCAGATTTCAAATCAAAATTCTTATTTCACGAAGTATCCGAAAAATCTTGTGAAAAGAGAAACAACAAATCTAGTTTACTAGACCAGTAAACTACAACTTGTACTTCGAAATCGAATATCAATTCTCCCTCTCGTATCCCAATACCAGTTTTCAATCTACGAAAGTTGCAAAGAAGTGTGTCGTAATCTTCGTCGAAGAAAGTTTCTTCGTTCGGCTGGAAACGCGAAATTTCTCGCACGATTTCCCGCACGCTGTCATTTACCGCTCGGTAAGAAAAATTTTCACCGAAAAAATTCTCATCGATGAGGATTTTTCTCACCTGATGCACGTGGTCCTTCATTCCAAGCCACTGCTTGTAGCTGATGGCAATCCCGCTACGCCTCCATTTGTCGTAGTTGCTCCTCTGCTCGGGATCGCAAAGAACTTCCTTTGCGTGCTGCGGCAAAAAGAAATCGCTACGATTAGGCTCGTGCGAAAGTACAACATAAATATAATAATATAGCATTTATTATAATTGTTTAAACATAAACATAATAATAATATGTATATTATAATTATTATAGTAATATAATATATATTATAATTGTTATTATAATAATATAATAATATATATACATTATAATTATTTAAACATAAATATAATAATATATTATATAATAATACAATAATGTAATATATATATTATAATTGTTATTATAATAATATAATAATATATATATTATAATTGCTACAATAATATAATACATATGTATTATAATTGTTATAATAATATAATACATATATATTATAATTATTTAAACATAAATATAATAATATAATATATATATATTATAATTGTTATAATAATATAATACATATATATTATAATTATTTAAACATAAATATAATAATATAATATATATATTATAATTGCTACAATAATATAATACATATATATTATAATTGTTTAAACATAAATATAATAAAATAATAATATATCAACACGCTCGTAACCGCGAACGTGGATCCACGTCAATTCAAATTCAGGTTCTCGTTGTCGTCAACGTGTTAATTTAACATCGTTTCGGTTGAATTTTCTAAATGGCAAAGTAAAAGAGAGAGAAAGAAAATCGAGGTAATTTAATGATGTTTATTTTATAAAATGAAAAAATACCGACCACGAGCGTATTGATGCGATATAAATTATCAAATGATGAATGTTCGAGCACATTCGTACTCACAAAGAATTGAAACGATACTTTTGTAAATGATATGGAGAATGTTAGAAATAATTATAAATAATTAGTATTGGAAATTTTGTTCCTCTTAGTATTGGAAATATTTCTACATTTTTTTTTTTTTTTTTTTTTTTTTTTGTAAACGTCGAAGTTCAACGTCGCGATCCCGAGCGGTTAAGCACGGTCTTTGTTATTTGAAAATTCATCGCCGGCCCACAGTGTAGGATTTCCTCGGCGCAGATTAATCGAAGTATGCCGTTTAGAATCGTTGCGACGTTTCCCTTCGCGTGTCGCGCGATGACGGAACGCGGTTGCGGTAGCGTGCAACACTCGATGCATAAGAGGATACCATGAGAACGAGAAAGTGATCCCCGAGGTTGAGCAAAAACCGTGACATTCCGCGGAGCGCACCGCTCACACACGCGCGGCAACGTTCTCTCTCGCTGCATAGTCAGCGGTGCATTCCGCGGAACTTTAAACGAGAGAGTTGCCGTACCTTTCGATGACTTTTTCTCGAAGAAAATCTGACTTTGACTATGTGAATTTATTGGCAATCAATCTCCGCGAAATATGCTTTTCGTGATCTTGTCGTCTGACACGCGTTTGAACAAACGTTAATCGTATAAGTGAGATTCATCAATCGATCAGTTGTTTTATTTGAGTAACCGAAATAAATTAATATCTATATATATATGTATATATATGAATGGAAGTTATAGAGTATGTCATTTCAAATGATAAAGATGATGGTTCATTGCAAGAATTTTCGATTTCTGTTTTTTTCAGAGTCAGTCTACCTACAAGTGGACAAAGTTTGACGTGAAAGCGAACAGTGTAACTCTTATGTTATGAATAATTGTAATTGTTAACTTTAAGAGGAATTAAACGACACGTAAATGGCAATTCATTTTATTTTCGTGTCGTAATGAATACTCCACAATATCTAGAGCCTTCCATTCTAATTGTTTCCTTCGTTCGCAGAACCCAGAACGGAAAACAAGCCACAAAGATATATTGACAGTAAAATCATTCTCCGTCTCGAATTTTATTTTTCACGCACACGTCATCAAGGTCCTTGTAACTTATGCACCGAGCAGATTTAATTACACGATTCTGCCAGGTGTTGAAGCAAAGATTAGTTTCAGTTAGGAACACGTAATAAAGCAACAAAAACTCTCTCTCTCTCTCTCTCTCTGTTCAATTTCTAATCGCGCGTTTCATCGATCAAAGACGGCAAAAGCTTGCTCGCCCCGCAAGTCTCCTCCTAACCGTGGGATTTAATTAAATTCCGCAAGCTGGAAGGCCGATTGTAATCCCGGACTAATGTACGCATGGTCTGTTTATGCTTACCATAAAGCTACCCCTCGAGAAATCCCGGTCCAGGTGAGCTCCCGGGACAGGTGTATCGATCAGTCGGTTAATTAAATGCGCTGCTGGCCTGTCCCCGCGGATCCTCCAGGAACTCGCTGGTATCCTGTTACCCTCGACCGGTCGCTTGCCCCCGCGGTTTTCCATCGCGAGCCTCTAACAGCCTCTGAGAGCCTCCAAGTTGGCATTTCAAGCGTCACCGTTTCGAATTGTGTGCCTCGAGGATACTTCTCGCATGCTTTATTTTCAAAATACAGTGCTTCTCCAGTTTCTTTCCTGTCGTCCCGTTCTATCAAAATATCCATTCGCATGGAACGTGCGCTTGAAACTGATTGAAACATAATTGAAAATGTATTCTTCGATTCGCGGAATCTTCAATCGCCATAGGTGGATTTCAGCTGGAAGAAGCACGTTCTTCGTACGAACGCGTTTGACAGGCATGCGTCTGATGCGAGATTCCAATTTTGCGCATCGTCGGTGATTTTATCGACAAAAGGTCAAAAACCAAGCAATCTCGAAAGTTGTTGATCCATCGATTAGATCGTGATAATTATGAATTTTCTTTGACGAGGAAGAGGAGGGTGGAGATATTGCAAATACACTGTACAATACTTTTTAAGAGTATAAAGGAGATATTGAAATAATAAATATATAAATATAAATCGTGTGAAAGGTATAAAATTGAAATTCTTCGAGAGAATGTATGAACACAGAGATATGAAATATATAAATATAAATAAATATATAAATTGTGCGAAATTAATAAATACAAATAAATATATAGTTATAAATTATAATATTATAAATGAATGCAACATATATTATAATATATATTATATATATTTTATTAATAAATATAATAAATATATACAACTATTATTATATTATTAATATTATATATAAATTATATTAATATTAATATATTATAACATATATATTAAGTATATATAATTTTATTAATAAATATAATGTTTGAAATATATAAATATAAATAAATATATAAATTGTGCGAAATTAATAAATACAAATAAATATATAATTATAAATTATAATATTATTAATGAATGTAACATATATTATAATATATATTATATATATTTTATTAATAAATATAATAAATACATACAACTATTATTATATTAATAATATTATATATAAATTATATTAATATTAATATATTATACCATATATATTAAATATATATAATTTTATTAATAAATATAATATATGAAGTATATAAATATAAATAAATATATAAATTGTGTAAAATTTGAAAATCACCAATTTCGAGAGAATGCATGAACTCGGACATTCTCTACGAAAGTCGAAACGTCTTAATGTGCGCGTTAGAAATTCTTGAACCGGACGAAACATATCCCCTGTAAATTTTTACATTAAGCGATTAAATTTTCGATAGTACGCGTATATTTGGACGAGAACCGAGGAATCATCGGTATTTTCATCGATCAACAGGTGGCTTTTATCCCGACACTCGTACGGCCATCGTTCCTAACGAAGGATCTTTCCGTGCTCGTGTTCCCGAACGTTTCGAGAACCGGCAGCTTTTTTCCCTCGTTGAATTTCTGCCCGGCACTTCTACTTTCACTTTCTACATCTGAACGACGCTTCGTGGAATATCCTGGCGGTTTCCAGAGTTCGTACCTTCAGCACCGAGCTTCCTCTTTGCTTTCCTTATTTCTGTAGTGCTTCAGCTTCTCCCCTGTGTTTCGAAGAAATCTCCAATATTCTGCGTTATCGGCAAAAAAAATTGCAAATTTCGGAACACAAATTACAAATCACAAATTTCGGGACTTCTTTTGCGTTGCAATTTAGCCTCTGCGAATGGCTTGGAACACATTGTAAACAAAATGTGGATGGATAATTTTAAGAAACCTAATTTCAAGAAAATTATCAACGTTACGAAATCAGCTTACGATGCTTAGTAACACACTGACGCAAACGACTATTGTCATCATGTTTTTTCTAAAAAGAAAAAAAACTTATCAATCGTAGGTACGTACGTACATATTTTCTACGAATAATGATTTTATATTTTAAAAGGAATTTCATGTTCTGAATTCTTGTACCAGCTCGGAATTCTATTTTCGGAATGCTGTCCAAAAACAGTCTGCGAAAATGAAATACGTCGATGAGCTAATATTTGATTGTCATTGCGAATTTCACATTTTAGGGATTGAAATGTCACGATATTTGTATTTTTCATTTTACGTTATCGCACCTAATTACTTGCATTGGCAAAAGATTGTTAATCGAAACATCGTGACATTCATTGTAGCTGGGGATTTAGAAATACAAAACTGTTCACGAACTGTTCGCGTTATTTCGCTTCAACATCACATCCAAATAAATTTCTAAACACAGTGTTTCGAATTGTTTCCAAACGTTTGACAAAAACTGCCCGTACCAAACCGTCTGGATATACTCCAGAACGTGTTCCACGTGAATGCGTTCCACAACGCAAGGATTAATGCACACCTGGATCCACTTTGCCTTCAACTTACGTTTTTCATCCCGTTCTCGTTTCTATTCTCACGTTTCTATTCAGTCAGAAACAATTACACCTCCATTAACCCGAATTAGGAAAGAAGGAACGAGAATACTCCTGAACGAACGTGAACCCGGCACACGATTAATTAATCGTTACGACACGGGTTTCAGAAACCTTTTCAAAGAAGTATTACGGTTCGCGTAATCCGTTTAGCGGGTCGAGGGTTTTTACAATGAAGAACAGTTTGAGAGAGAGAGAGAGAGAGAGAGAGAGAGAGAGAGAGAGAGGCTTGGTGTGCTTGTCGAGTTGCGGCGTTCGCCACGGCGCGAGCGGAGCGCAAAGGAAAACTTAATTCTTGTTATGGAAGAGCCGAGTTAATTGTTTCGAGGTATGCCTTGCATGTAAAACCAC